TCCTGCTTCACTTCACTTCACTATGCAAGGCATTAAAAGACATCACGGCGTGCCAAATCGTGTAAAACTCCCAATCACCATTGCACTGATGCGAATTCTTAAGGACACCGTCGCAAACCATCCCACTATTTGCAACCATGACAAAGCTATGTTGTGGTCTGCCTTTACACTGGCGTTCTTCGGCTTCTTGAGAGTCAGCAAATTGTTCGCACCCGCGTCAACCACCTTTGACCCACAATGCACTTTACTGGCGGCAAACATCACTTGCAACACAGACCTCGTCATTGCGCTCAAGGCTTCTGAGACAGACCCATTCCGCCGGGGATGTAACATCATCATCGCACCCTCACAGTCATCGGTCTGCGCTGTGCAGGCATACCAGGCGTACAAAGCACTACATAGTTCCGTCGCTCACCTACCTGCATTCCAGTTCGCCAACAGTACTTTCCTCACGTGGCAAGCTGTTAGCAACCACATTCAAGACCTTCTCACTCGCGCATCTGTGCCAGATGTTAACTGTTACACTACTCACAGTTTCCGCAGTGGTGCAGCCATGACAGCTGCCGACGCAAATCTCCCGGACTGGTTGATCAAGGCACTGGGCAGGTGGCGCAGCGACGCCTACCAGACTTACATTAGCACACCCCCCAGCATTATCCGATCAGGTCCGGGTCACTTGTCCATTGCTGACTGCTCTTCTTTTAACTGTATCTTCGTCATTTGTTTTGAGATTTCATATCGATCTAACTATGCTTTGTTTTATCTTATCGCGATAGACTTTGTAATTTTATCGGTTTCTTTAGCGTGTTTCTTTTTCTTGTTTACAGTATGTTCGTTATGTTGCTGTGCAAGTTTTTCAATTTTTTTTTTTTTTGGTAAATTATCAGTTAGTTTTACTCTTCGTGTAAAGCCCATCTCCCGCAACACATCATCCTGCCTTTAAATTTGGGGGTTTCCACCACAGACCAAGCAGACTTTACAAGGGTACCCACGATGTCCATCCACCTGGGGTTGTGAGTCGATCTGCAGGCTCCCGCCAGGGGGACGCCAGCCATGACGCCAGCCATGACGCCCGCCTGTACAGTCTCTGCTGGTGGAAGGTACCACACGCTCAGCGTCATGATGCAATTCAAAGGCGAGTCGCATCATTGAGCTGTTCGCTGCGACGCCTGCGGCCGCAATTTGCTCCCCCTTCCACTTTTGCCAAAACCTTGTGTCTTGTGTCATTTATTGAAGCATTAATAGTGAAAATAACTTCATGTTTCATCTTGAATTTCAATGTACCCCCACATCATCAATTATACTTATCCATGCATAACATACACAAATACGTTTCCTCTTACGTGATATGCCCTTCCAGTGACCATTGCCACAATTACTAAACTGTCATAGATTCCACTTCTCCTATCCACCTAGTAACTGTCACTGCCCTCTGCACAGTATATGTATGTACCTTGGGTGGACTTCTTTCAGATTTTTTCATTGGGTAATGATATTTTCAATCCAACTTATTCTGTGCTGTACATGAAACCATATTGCTTTCTGACTACACATCACAAATAGCAAAGCTTATATCAGCTGACATGCTTCTTATTGGGTCAGTGCAATTGGTTTAGTAGAGAATGTGTTTAGCTACCTTCAAAGTTTCTTATCAAGCTATTGTTTGTGTCACCTGTTGACTATTCAGTAAACCTTATGTCAGATTAGTTAATTTCGTGGCGATGTTTTCAATTCTCTATTTTAAACAAATATCTTTGGTAAAAAATGTGATTTTCAACTTCTTCCTGAAAACTACATGTACCAGCTCAATTGCTTTGATACTTTGTATGTACCTTGAGTTAGACCTAAGTCAGATTTGTTCATTTCTTGGTAATCCTGAACAGCCAAATTAATATATGTTGCACATGCATGGGTAATCTTGTTACACTGTTCAGGGGGGTCTAAACCACATTTTCTGAAAGTTTTTGGTCTTTGTTTTCACCATGATGTTGCCATGCGTTGAGAATGCCTAGATGTCTGCCCCCCAAGAATAAATATCGCTGCACACAGTGGAAGCTGTATTGGCTTGGATGTCAGGGCAATACAGAGACGATATCAAGACATCATGCAACTCACAAATATTCAGACCAAAGCTATTCAAGCTATACTTAGTTCCGAGTCATTGTTTGTCACACTAGAAATCATTATGTTATTATGCTTTACCAGCCTTTGGACCATCGAGTGTGGTCACTAGTATTGTCACTTCTGTTGAGTATTATAGAAGAGTTGGTGTTATACCTCACAGCTCATGTCACTGCAACATATATTGACAGAAATGAAGATCAGACATTAGAAATGCAAAGCCCCAAGCGCTTTTTTGGCAGTCATTTGTAACAAAGCTCTCTATTGGTCGGTAAACTTTCTATCGCGCAACCATGTGACATACGCGGTTATGAATGGAATTACTGCATGAGGTTGGAGGGGAAGGAATGTCCAAACAGAACAACACCGTGCACGCAGATGATGGGGTATATAGATGTAGATAAATAATAATTATATGGTTTTGGTGGGATCTATAAAATCTGGAAATCTATTGATCGGTTTTGTCATTGTCAGGGCATTGTTATGAAGGCCGAAATCGAACTAAGGCCCAACGTATAAATGAATAAATACTGGACCATGAGGTATATCTAATACAAATGCATAGTAAATTTAATACGAAATTGGTACACAGAATATTACAGAATGGGTGTATGTCATTAACGACAAAATGTACTACTGCAAAATGCATATATTGAATATGATAAAATAACTGGAAGGCTACAAGCAAAATGCTGGAGCATAACAAGATTTATAATACATACAATTCCACCGTTAATGTCAATAAATACTCATCTGAAAAGTCAATAGTCCCAGCTTACCAAGACCCCAGATACAATTATGAATAGACGACACGAAAACAATACAATATTATACGATTTCGTCCAAAGGCCACACGTGATGATTCACCGTCCAAGTATAGAGATATACGTGACGAAGACAAACGCCTTATAACGGATCAATTGCGGTTAATCCTAAGCACACAGTAATCCTGACGAAACAGTAATTAACGAACCACCATTATTGCAAACTCTGCATACACAATACACATGTTCAATTGAACAACATTTCAGTTCTCACTTGCACGTGACAATTACAAAAAAGGCAATTACATTAACTCAGTTATAAACTCTCACCAGAACCTATGCAGTACCATGCCAGGAGTCAGTCTCGTTGATATGTCAAATGCACACTTTTTGTTTTTCTTACCAATCTGCCACACTTCTCAAACTCAATTTGCATAACAATTCGTTCTCTATCGCAAACATAGAATAACAGTTATGTAGATTCAGTTTTATCCTGACAGTCGTCAAGTCTTTTATATATTTGTCAAGTCTTTTACATATTCTTGCCTGCAGCAAGTACAGTAATTTGCATATGACAAGATATGTATTTGATTGCTGTGTGCAAGGCAAGGCACACAATGGGAGTCATCTGTGTATGTATCTGTTTTTATGGATGTCTGTATATGTATGTTTGTTCCATCAATATCTCGAAAACAAATCATTAGATTTCAATGATCCTTTGTGATAATGCACAGACCTGATAAGGTTTCAGTGGAAATCTGTGCATGTTACTGATATATAACATTGTTAAACACCATCCTATTCCCCATTTTTTGTTGGCAAACCCTGTTGAGCAAAAGACCAATTGGCCTATTTTTTAAAGTAGAAAGGCTGAATCCAAACATCAACAAGAATGTTCATTACATTGTACATTTTCTCTGCAGATCAATGTCATGTGAGTGAAATGATGTCAGCAGTTGTAACATCATGTCAAGTCAAGTACATGTATTCTACTGAAGATACAAATTCTTATGCAGCAAGGTGGCATAATGTCACTGATGTGCCAACTAAGCTGAAATCCATGTGGAATTACCAGCCAGCAAGTATCGCACAAGGAAGTCTATTCTGGGGAAGTAATGCAGCGTATAACAGTGGTGGTTATATTGCTGATCTGGGTACATCTTCAGTTGAAGCAGCTTTTGTTGTAGATGAGATCTTTGAATCAGAGTGGCTGGATACAAAGACGCGAGCTCTTTTTATTGAGTTTACTGTTTACAGTCCATCCACTAATATCATCAGTGCAGCAGTGTTTTTGTTAGAAGTATCACCCATTGGCAGTATAACTACAAGTTTTGAGTTACTGACTAGTCCTTATTATAAATACACAATTGGTATACACTTATTTATCATAGTTTGCGAGATAGGTTATGTATTCATATTAATACATATGATATATATTGAAATCGTTGAGCTCAAACAACAAGGTGTTCAATACTTCCGCAGTTTTTGGAGCATTTTTGATACAGTTGTCATTTTCTTCTCCCTGGTTACGATGGGAGTTTTCATTTCCCGGGTTGTGGTGTCTTACATTGCAGTTGAGAAGTACCAATCTGACATAACAGCGTTTACTAGTTTCTTTCCTGCAGCATTTTTAGATCAGGTTTTTGGTTACTTTATGTGCTGTCTGGTAATGCTGTCCATGCTGAGAATGCTGAAAATAATGCGTAGTAACAGCAGTATATACCTGATACAGAGGACTTTCAGCAATGCTGCTGCTGAGATCATCAGCTTCACTGTAATCCTTTTTATTCTGCTAGCAGCTTATGGACAGTTTTGCTCTATAGCATTTAGTAGAACCGTGGCTGATTTGAATGGTTTAGGCAACATTGCAGGATCATTGCTAAGTCTTATTCTGGGAGAGTATGACCTTGAACAATTATTTACAGAGAACAGATTCTTAGGACGTGTTTTCTATCTAGTGTTTATTTGTAATGTGCCATTGACGTTAATGTCTGTGTATACTACTATGATGATTAGAACGTTTTTGTATGCCTCTCACCACAGAAAACATTCAGAAGACTCTGACGTGTTTCTTTTACTTATGTTCCAAATCACATGTGGCAAATTATTTAAGCCAGAAATATCTTATGGTGATGAGGATAGTGACAATGAGTAATAAGTATTCAAACACTTTTTGTACACTAGAATACTGCTTTGCTATACTGAATATGAGAGTTATTCTAGTGAAATATACAAACCACTTTGTTATATTAAATATCCTTTATAATAAGAATCAAAACAACAATTTTGTCTAGATATACTTATTGTCTTCACATTCACATTATTTTGTTGTAAAACTTGTATCTGGACAACAAGGTACTTTGTGTCAAAAAAATTTCAAAATCTGTCATTTTGCAGTATTACATTGAGTATCTTCCTCCTACCTTATTAGGAAATACAAACTCTAAATATTGGACAATTATGCCATATTTCCAAGATGGCGGACATGTTTCAAAATACAATTTATAGTGAGAAAGTTTTGCTCAGTTCTGGGATTGTTACACCAAAGGTTCAGGAAGACATATAATAATGGGGTTATTACAAAAATATTGCATATTTTGCAGTATTTTTGTAATAACTTCATATAATAATACTCTTTATTGCATCATAAGGAATGTACATTTCATTTTTAGTTAGTTTAATTATAATATGTATTTGACTGAAGTGTAATAACAGCCAACTTGTGATGAGAGTGCCCCATATATACACATGTAGAGAACAAAACAATGTTTTGAATAGTTTTAATAAGGCTTATAAATGACCAGAGAAGAACTCCAAATCTGACATTGCAATAAGTAAAAAATACAACTTGTCATGTACTTGTCAATTAGTAAATAAATATGTATGCCCTGAGAAACAAATGCCCGTTAGTAGTATGGATTCACTGTCATTGCAAGGAATGCAACAAATGCACTGAGAAAAGTTAAATGCTCTACAAATTCGTGGTATTTTGGGAAGTGAAAGTTATATCAAATCAAAAGGAGGAGAGGATCTCTAAACTTGTTTTCATGGAAACAATGACTGATTTCCCTCTTAGTGTTAAGCCCTACTCTAGTGTACATTTTGAATTGAAAAATTGGCAAGATACATACAATTGAGATGCCTATTTCAAAAACTAGTTTGGATACCTGCAGTAACAGGGAATAACTTTAGTGAGCATTTTGAGTGAGTGAGCAACATCCATCCTTGAATCAGAAGCTCAATTATTGGACAAAATACATTTAAATAGTAAAATAACCCAATTAGTTAAATATGAATTTATGTGCACCACTGTTTTGGGAGGTATGACTGTTATTGCACTTTGTAGTGAAATAAAATGCACTTATTAATTTACAAAAGAACCCAAATCTTAAAATTTTTAGATTACTGATCATATTAACTGACACTGAGTCAATGCTTTCACTGTATAATCAGAAAAAAAATAGTTATGCAAAATTTATGTGGCTTTTTTTTTCTCAACATTTTTGGAAACTATAATTGTAAATATTACATGTGTTACTGAATTTATGATAAATTGATCATAATACTTTACCCAACAGTTTGCAAAATAAAGATTTTCATTCATACTATTCAAATTGTATTTGTCTTGTTTCAAAAAGAAAAGGTATAATGGCCATCCTGAGTACATAATGTTTATTGTATTACTAACAATGCTGCTCTCTGCTACCCATGCATGCAATGAAAAATACAAACACAGACACATGGGATTGATCCATTTCAAAACAACCAGTTCACATGTATATTGCTTTGTCCCACTGAATGAATATTCAGTAGTTGCAAGCTATTGCTGCTATGGCCTCAAGTTTATCATAATTAAATGTAGTCATACAGCAATATTGAACTTTACATCCATATTGCATTGTTAACAAATTATTAATAGATATTAAAATAATTACTGGTACCATATTAGCTCTATTAATAGCACATGCACTTACATTAATTACACAGGTGTTTCCAGGGTCAATAAAACAAATGTGATTGTTGATTTATATGTGTACAGTATTAGACATCAAGTATGCCGTAATAATGCTTGTTCCACACGAATCGTGATCGCTGTAGTGAATAATAATCCAACTTAAAACCTGCCATATAACTCTGCACCAAGGAAAAATATACTTGTTAAGTGTCAGTGCATAGGTAATAGTTGAGCTCAGTAAGTGGAAAAAGTTATCCCCTAGTGTACCCAAAATATTTACATAATCGCCATCTTTGACCATATAGTCTTATGTATACATGTCTTTTCTCGTTGCTTGTAATGGTTTCTTATTTTCTTCTATTCTCTCCTTTATTTCTCGATCACAATAAGACCATACATATATTGGGTGTACATGGGCCAGCATAGTACACACTAAAATGGCCAAATTAATCTGAAAAAAAATATAGTTCTTGAGATGAATACACTATTCTTATTAGTTATGCACACTAGCAATAAAATACTTCTGTGGTGTCAGTCCATAAACAAATAGTGGTTTTTATCCAATCATATTTGCTCCATTCAAAGTACATGTAAACCAACAATTGGTTTGATGAATGGTGTATTAAGTTACCTAGTCCTTATTTTGCTTATGTGAATATCGTTGTGTTAATGTCATGTTTGTTGTGATATGTCTTGATCACTGGATACTTGTATAGAGGTAGTATGGACGACATTGTGTAGTACCTCGGTAGAAACAAATTGAGTACACACCCCTTGAATACATGCCAGCTTTTTCCAGATGAGTACCACAAGCAATCCCAAGTTCATTGGTAAAACAAAATTTACTCACATAAAAAGGGTTTGAATGTTGCATATTTTGTGATGCTTTGAATAATGGGCTTTGTAACAATGTGACTATACCAGCAACAAAGTATGTCACTCCATAGAACTTTCCATAATGGTTCTGCGGGAACCTGAAATGTAAATAAATTCATTCTATGTAAAAATTCAATCTATTAAATAGAGGTGAACACAATGATCACAATTTTGCTTTTCATAAGAATTACACGAGTTGGATGCATATCTTCAACTTTTGTTTTTACCTAATACCAAATATTTGTTTTTGAAAAAGAAATGTCTAAACAGATGTTTTGGAACTATTTTAGAAATCCATGTTAAAGAATTATTTTATTCAAAGAATAGTATTTATCAAAATTTTCTAATAATTCATGACAATCCTAGGCACCAATCTCGCATGTTAAAGTTGTAATGTCAGCAAAAATTTGTTGAAAGCCCATTATCTGTATATATGTTTTATAGTGAAATAAACTTCATTCTTTCATTCATTCAATTTTGAATAACTTGACCAAAAATCAAATATGAAAATTACAGCTCTTGTGAGTTTTTACACTTCAAAACCTGGAACTTTGCACCGATTGTTGACAGTTATTTGTTGTCTCCACTATGATAAATTCCATCATGCGTTGCTGTTGTATTTTTTTGATAACCAATTATCCACAACTAACCTAAGAAGTACTTAAAGTTCAATATATGCTTGCATAGTGTGTTAACAAGCA